GATCTGCCTTAAAACTCTCTTCTGTGACCACCACTGTCTGGATGCCTTTATACCCTCCCATGTCAGTCTCATCTTCCTATACTGCTCTGTTCTACCCTCACATCACACATATCTTCTGCAATCCTCATTCTACTGTTAACTGTCCTTATTAGACTTTTATCCTTCTTCCTAGAAATTACCTCACATATTTTGTATTTAAATGTACATGGTAAATTTTGTGTGGTGTCACCTTCCCCCATGAGAATGTAAGGTCCTTCAAGGCAGGAACTATTTCATCTGACTCTCTTCCCTCCAGTCCACCCCTCCACTCAGCTGCCAAATTGATCTTCCTAATTCTTCTATTCAATAAATTCCAATGCTCCCTCTATCACCCCCAGAATCAAATACACAATCCTCTGTTGGCTTTTAAAAGCTTTCATAATTGGAAATTGAGGAGATGCTCATCAATTGAGGAATGGCTGAACAAGCTGTGATATGCAAATGTAATGTAATTCTATTGTGCTATAAGAAATGATGAGCAGGCAGACTTCAGAAAAACCTGGAAAGACGTGTATGGACTGATGCTGAGTGAAGTGAGCAGAACAGGAGAATGTTGTATACAGTAACAGCCACGTTGTTCGGTGACTAACATTGATAGACTTAACCCTTCTCAGCAATACAAGGATCTAAGACATCTCCAAAGGTCTCATGATGGAAAATGCTATTCACATCAAAAGAAAGAACTATGGAGTTTGAATGCAGATCGAAGCATGCTATTTGCTATTTTTTCCTTCTATTTTGTTTTGTTTTCTCTTTCTTGTGGTTCCTCCTATTGGTTCTAATTCTTCCTTACAACATCACTAATGTGAAAATATGTTTGATAGGAATGTATATGTATAGCCTATATCATATTACATGCCGTCTTGGGGAGGAGGAGAATAATTTAAAACTCAAAAGCTTATGGAAGTGATTGTTGATAAATTAAAACAAATTTTTTTTAAAGTGGGAAAAAAAAGGAAAGGGGATTTCCAAAGCTTAAAAAAAAAAGCCTTCACAACCTGGCCCTTCCTATCTTTCTAGTCTTCTTACCCCCTTATTCTCTTCGATAGTCTATGATCCAGGGACACTGGCCTCCTGCCCACTCATCACACAAGAGACCCCATTATTCAGACCGCACACTTTCCCTGGTTGTTCCCCGTGCCTGGAAAACTCTCCCTGCCTCATCCCTGCCTCTTGACTTCACGTGGCTTTTTCCAAGTCCCAAGTCACATCCCACCTTTTGCAAGAAGCTTTTCCCAACCTCCCATAATGCTAAGCATCTAATATATATGCTCAATAAGTCCTTGTTGAATTGGAGAGGTCAAGAAAATTGCCCATGGTAACACAGTACCAGAAGCAGAATTTGAATTCAAATCTTCATAAGTCTAATACTCACTGTACTACTATACCATGCTTTTATTCATTGAGCCTAATACTGGGGTAGCCAGGTGATACACTGGATAGAGAGCAGGGCCTGGAGTCAGGAAGACCCAAGTTCAAATCCTGCCTCAGACACTTCCTAGCTGGGCAAGTAATTTAACTTCTGCTTGCCCCAGTTTCCTCATCTGTAAAATGGGAATGATAATACCACCTACCTCCTAGGGTTGTTGTGAGGATCAAATGAGATAATAATTATAAAGCACTCAGCACAGTGCCTGGTACATAATTTGCTGTTCAGTTGTTTTTGGTCATGTCTGACATGAGGGGATAGAAACAGTGCTATGGGAATTTCAGAGCTGTGGGTTTTGTTTTTTCAGTAAAGGTTTAAAGTCAGTCAATAAACATTTATTAAGCACCTGCTATGTGCCAGGCATTATGCTAAGTGCTAGGGACAGGAAGAATGACAAATTATCATGCCTGCCCTTGAAGAAGCTTACATTCTAATAATGGGGGACCAGAGATAGAATAGGGGACAGCTAGGTGGCAAAATGTATAGCATGCCAGGCTTGGAGTTGGGAAGACCCAAGTTCAAATCCTGCCTCAGACACTTCCTAGCTGGGCAAGTCACTTAACCCTGTTTGCCTCAGTTTCCTCTTCTGTAAAGTGAACTGGAGAAGGAAATGGCAAACCACTCCAGTATCTCTGCCAAGAAAATCCCAAATGGGGTTAAGAAGAGTCAGACATGTGGAGGCAGTTTGAGCACCAGCCCTGGATTCAGGACACTTCCTAGCTGTGTGACCCGGGGCAAGTCACTTAACTCCACTGCCTAGCCAAAAAAAAAAAAAGACTCAGACATGACTGAAAAATGACTGAATGACAAAGGAGATGAGAATGGTGCAGTCCACATTTGGGTCATCTCTCTGCCAAGAAAAATAACCACCACTCAACAAGAAGAGCCAGTGTTGAAGAAAAAGAAATCATCGAGGCTCTTTACCACACCTGGCTGCTTTCAAGACCATCCAGCCCTGATCCCTAGGGAGGTTGGGGGATGGGGAACTTCCCTATGCTATAGAAACTGCTTGGCTCAGAGAGCTTTGCCAGCAGCTCTGTTCTGGGTGCTTGGGGTTTGAATGTCTTATTCTTTACCAAGCCCGTTTGGGTGGTTTCTGTGTTTGTTTCTCTTGTATTTTCTGAGCGACAGGTTATATAGCTTCTTACCAGGGCAATTCAGGAGCCTACTCACCAACTATACAATTAACCAGACAGCATTAGTTAAAGACAAAAAAGCCCTTGCCTTCAAGGAGTTTTCCATCTCATCAATGCAGGCCCTCCCACCCACCTGGGGTTTAGCTCTTTTCAAATTTCAGTAGTTCTCCTTAGGGCAGAACAGGCCCCACCTTCCTGGAGTCTAGCCTCACAGAAGGACCCAGGGGCTGGGCCAGTCCACAGTGTATTAGGTACAGAATAACATTTTTTTAAATGAAAATATCTTTATTTTACTTATTTATTATGGGCATATGCATGATAAACTGTGGAATTTATTTCTTTTCACATTGAATAAGTGGGGCATGGGGGACCAAAAAAACAAATTGGGAATTCCAGATGCAGTCCAACTCCTTCACTTTAGTTAGGTCCCTGAGGTAAAATTACCCACCTTAAGTCTCAGGTAGGAAAAATAAAAAGAGGCAATACTAGAATCTAGATCTCCAAATTTAATTCTTTTCTCCCTACATTATACAGCCTCTCCAGGATAAAGATACAGGAAGGCTTTGCCTAAGAATTGCCTAGCCTAGGGTAGAATTGTACTGCCCCTTCACTAGTACTTACTGCCTGCAACTATTTTAAATTGCTTTCACTTAAACAATGAATCCAACAAACCTGAAAAGTTCCCAAGGATCATTACTCTCTGTCCTTACATATATTAAGTGTATATATGTATATATAAATAAGCTATGTATATGTTGTGTGTGTGTGTGTGTGTGTGTGTGTGTGTGTATGAGTTATGTGGCACCTGGATAGTGTGGGAGTTGGGAAGTATTGGATTCTAATCTAGCCTCTGCCACCTACCAACTACAAGCAGAGAAAGAAAAAATAAAACCAAATAACAACAAAATAAGAGTTGCTGCCCTCAAGGAGTTTTCCCTGAAAATTTCAAGGAAATGAGGGAGGCAGTCACAGCAAATCTGAGGGCCAGCCTCTTTATTACTTCACTAAAGTCATTGTGAGGATCAAATGAAAAGTAAACCTTGACAAGGACTGGCTACCCCAACAAAAGCTAGCAGTTAAAGAGGTTTTACAACAGTCCAGCACTGGGACTTAAAAGAGGGGTGGGTCCATGGACAGGAACTATTTTCTCCACACTCATCCTAAATCCGGGTTCTCAAACGATTCGAGGACAAGGAGTCTGTGGATAGATTTCAGAGGGTTGAACTTTCATGATGGAAAAAAAAGTACCTCTTTATTGTCACAATCTTCTAATTGAAATCTAGCATTTCCTTCACTAATATATGAACATAGGCAACACTATTCTAAGAAGGGGTCAGTCCACAGGCTTCACCAGACCAGATTGCCAGAGTGGTCTCTGCTACAAAAAAATGGTTAACAACTGGCCTAAACTAACCAGACAGCCAAATATTAGAGGGATGTGTCCCTCAGAGGAATCCCCCCTCTCCTCAAAGGGAGTTTAAACCATAAGTTATAAACAAAAGTCAGCTACCATAATATCACCTCAAAAGGTTGGGGGTATCCAGATCCAGGGATTTGGACCAAAAACACCAGAGTCACCCTGGTGATTGGGCAAGTACCAGGATTCCTCAATAGCTGCATTTCCTGCATTTGAGTTACTTGGAACAACAGAGTAGTTCACAGAACAAAGGTCCCTGAAAATCCCAGGGCTTAGATCAAAGTATGAGAGACCCGGCTAATTACATCACAACACCTCCCAAACTGTGGGGTGCCCACTCCTGCTTACAAACTGCCTCCCCCTCTTATTTATGGGGAAAGGACTCTCTCCACACACCAAGCCTGGGTGAAGAGACCTCGTGAGATCCTGGTTTCGGTCTAGACTAGGTCTTAAGTTATAAACAGGCTTTGGCTCCTGGGGAAATTAGAAGGTAGGAAGATAGGAGAGCACATTATAGCCAAGTCCTGCCTATTCTTCCTTTATAAGAAAATAGAATGACTTAACGTGGCATTCCCCCAATGGACAGTTAGAAGTCTACTCAGTAACCTTCCACATAAACCTTTTGAATTTCTGTAGGCTCCTTTTTTGGGGGAGCTGGGGTAGGGGGAGGGTAGGTAGGAAGAGAAAGCAATTGGATGAAAGCAGCAGTATCCTGAACTGGCATCATGGGAATATGCCTGGCTTTTTTTCCCCCATTAATGATCTCACCCTTTTCCCCAGGCAGGAAAATGCCCAAAATACAACACCCATGGGGCACATTTCAGGCAATGCCGACAGCTGCCACACTCGAGGAATGAAAAAGGAAAACCCAACTGAAAGGCAAATATTCTATTTCTATACAATAGCATTCTCCAGAACCCATTTTCACACTGCTCCCCATCCACTCACCTCCTTTCCTCTCTCAATTCCACTCACTTACCTTGCTAAATTTAAAGAGATCCTGTTTCAGTCGCTCCCGGGCTTGATCATGTCCAGATCTCAAGAACCTTCTCATCCTTCTTGGCTCCTGGCTGCCCCACCAATGACCTAGAGAAAGACCCCAAAATTCCGTCTTTGAAGTGGGGCAAAATATTCCTGGTCATGGATAAAAAGCCAAGACAACAACCCCCTGGGGCACAGCCCAGAACAGTGACACCCTTATGATCATTTCAGAGTTTAATGGCCACAGGGGGCCATTGTCAGGTTTTTACTTTACAGAGTAAATAACTCAGAATTCCAGCCTCACTCTCTGCTAACCCACATCTTACTCCTCTCCTCAAGTCCTATCTGAGGTTTTTGGTGCTTCAGATAACAAGCCTGGGAAAACAACTAAGAAATATACCACAGATACCACCTGCTTCAGATCTGGAGTTCAGCTCTCAATGCTCTGTATTACTTTCAATAACTAACATATCCTACATGTAACCAAGACAGCAGCAGGAAAGGCTTGGAGGAGGGAGCCATTTAACCTGACTTTATAGGTACAGTTCTGCCTAACAAGATGGCCCAGCACTGCCTGCAGGTTAATTGTTAACTTGTTTTCTGAAAAACCACAAGGCTTTTAGTTTCATAGAAAGGAGACTTCCTAGGTTTCCCACAGGAGGAGTGACAACTCAATAGTTTCCTCTAATTTTTTTTCTTTAACTAGAAACTTAATTATCAACAAATGCAAATATTTCAAGATACAAAGAACAGAAAAAATTATATAAGAAATGAAATTTATTATGTACAGTGGATTTCTTTTAAATAAATACATGTACTAAGTTCAACAAGGTAGTAAGAACAATGTTTTATGTCCCCCTTCAGTACTTTTTTTTCCCTTTGGCACATTAAAAATTTGTATTGAATCTTTTTTCTATGTCTATTATAATCCACAGTAGTTACCTTCTCTCCATTCACTACCTTAAACCCCCCCACCTTATTCTCAGCAGAAGCCCTTCCTTGAGATTTTTACATATATATAAAGAGAGAGAGAGAGAGAGAGAGAGACAGAGAGAGAGAGAGAGAGAGAGACAGAGACAGAGACAGAGACACTCCAGATTAAAGCATTAAGATGAAAGGTTCTTGAAAAGCCCACCTCTTACATATATACTCCAAAGATCTGAAAAGGGTATGAGATAGAATCAAGATCAAGAAATCCAAAAAGAAACCAGCTTAAGACTGCATAAAAGTGACCGAAACGGTGGGATGTCCACTGTAGGACGCAACTGAAAGATTGGAAGACCCTAGCACCCTGACTGGAACACGAGCCAGTACAGAGTTTTCTTAGTACAGATACTACAAGGGAAGGAAAAGCCAGCAGCAGAAACACAGAAAAATCAGGGACTAGAGGACAGTCTAAGCGACCCTTTCAAGAATACAGAAGGGATTAATCCATGTGCCAAGCACAAAGTCCCAAACCAAGAACCGAGGTAGGAGTTATCAGGAAAATAATACACAAAAACACTTGGGGTCAAGAGATGCCCAAGAGGGAAACAGAAGAGAGCAACTCAACAGCAACTATAAACAGTCTCGGAAAAACAAAAATATCTTTAAATGAAGGAATAGGAAAAAATGAAATTATAAGTAAGGGCTTTGAAAGAATTAGGAGAATAAAAAGCTCAGAAGAGGACATTTTTCAAAAATCTTACTCAAGTATCTGACTCTCTGAAGCTTAGAATAGACCAAACATAACCATGACACTATTAGACAAGAAATACCATAACAAAATGAAAAGACTGAAAAAAAAATAGAAAATTTAGGATATCTACTATCAAAAGTTACTACCTGGAAAACAGGCCAAGGAGAAAAAAACTTAAGAATAAAACTTCTTAAAAACCATGACCACACAAATAATAATAACAATAAAAAAATACTGGATACTATATTTCAAGAAAATAGCTTGGATCTATTAGAGCCAAAGGCAAAGGGAATACAGAAAGAATCCTTTCTAAATAAACTCCACATTGAGAATGTCTAGGAATGTCGTAATCAACATTCAGTACTTTCAAGTCAAAGAAAATATACTGCAGGCAACTAGAGAGAAAGAATTCAAGTAGCAAGGAAAAACTGTTAGTATCATACAAGACAACATCAATGACTACAAAGGAGAGAAAAATTTGAAGCATTATATTCCAAAAGGAGAGAGAACGGAGTAAGCTATTCCAAAAGGCAAAGGATAAAGGTTTGGTTTGCAACTATAGGATGAAAAAAAATAGATATTTAATAGAAAAGAACAACACATAAAGGAATTCCTGGGATGGGAGTGGGGATAGGGCACCTTGAGCTGGTGGATTTACAAATGAACTCTGACAATTAGTTCCAATATTATATAAATAAGTTGTAGAACTAGGAAAAGGAGGGGGCGAAGCCAAGATGGCAGAGTGAAAGCAGTGACTTGCTTGACCTCTCCTCCAAACCCCTCCAGATACTCATAAAAAATGGCTCTAAACAAATTCTGAAGCAGCAGAACCCACAAAAAGACAGAGTGAAACAAATTTCCAGCCCAAGACAACCTGGATGATTGATCAGAAAGGTGTATCACACCGGGCTGGAAGCGCAGGCAGCAGCGAATATGGAGCAGGCCTCAGGGGACTGAATCTCGGGCAGCTATGGAGGTTTCCAGACTCCTCAATCCACCAATGCCAAAGACAACTTAGAAGGTCAGTGGGAAAAGTCTGTTTCTATCGGTGCTGAGACAGGAAGGTGGGGTTTCAGCTCCATTCCCCAAGAGCGTGGCCTGGGGCGGGGGGGCAGCTGCTTCCCGAGCTTCCGGCCCACAGACTGAGGGGGAATCCAGTGGCTGATCAGAGAGGGATTGCAGGGATCTCTTTGCCAGTGCTGAGGCAGGAATCTCTTGCTTTGCCCGTGTTTGGATCTGGGCCACAGTTCTGGCGGGGGTGCTGGGGTGAAGAAGAGCGCTGGCTTGGTGGAGCTTGTAGTGGCTGTGGAGAAGAAACCCCTCCTCACAGTTACAGGACAGAAAGGAGTACCTGTAGTCACAGGCCAGGAAAGCAGTAAACACCTTGCCACTTATCATACCACCTTGGAAGAACTGAAAATTTACAGGTCCCTACAAGTATCTCTGAAAACAGCTATACAAACCCCTGAAGCTTGGGACAGTACATTCTCCACATTGGAAGCAGACTCTTACCTTAACAAAGAGTTTAAAACTCAAGTAATTGGCTGGGATCATGAGCAAGCAGCGCAAAAAGAGTCAGACTATATTATCTTACTTTGGTGAAAAAGAAGATCAAAATATACAACCAGAAGAAGACAACAAAGTCAAAGCTCCTACATCCAAAGCCTCCAAGAAAAATATGAATCAGTCCCAGGCCTTGGAAGAGCTCAAAAGGGATTTTGAGAAGCAAGTAAGGGAAGTAGAGGAAAAACTGAGAGTGATGCAAGAAAATCATGAAAAACAAGTCAACAGCTTGCTAAAGGAGACCCAAAAAAATACTGAAGAAAATAACACCTTAAAAAATAGCCTAACCCAAATGGCAAAAGAGGTCCAAAAAGCCAATGAGAAGAAGAATGCCCTAAAAAGAAAAATTGGCCAAATGGAAAAGGAAGTCCAAAAGCTTACTGAAGAAAATACTTCCTTAAAAATTAGGAGCAATTGGAAGATAGTGACTTTATGAGAAATCAAGACACAGTAAACAAATCCAAAAGAATGAAAAATTAGAAAACAATGTGAAATATCTCATTGGAAAAACAACTGACCTGGAAAATAGATCCAGGAGAGAGAATTTAAAAATTATTGGACTATCTGAAAGCCATGATCAAAAAAAGAGCCTAGACATCATCTTTCAAGAAATTATCAAGGAAAACTGCCCTGATATATTAGAACCAGAGGGCAAAATGAAATTGAAAGAATCCACAGATCTCCTCCTGAAAGAGATCCCCAAAGGAAAACTTCTACCAATATTATAGCCAAATTCCAGAGTTCCCAGGTCAAGGAGAAAATATTACAAGCTGCCAGAAGGAAACAATTCAAGTACTGTGGAAACATAATCAGGATAACACAAGATTTAGCAGCTTCTACATTTAAAGGACTGCAGGGCAAAGGGAAGGATTACAACCAAGAATCACCTACCCAGCAAAACTGAGTATAATCCTTCAGGGGAAAAAATGGTCATTCAGTGAAATAGAGGACTTTCAATTCTTGATGAAAAGACAGACTGAACTGAATAGAAAATTTGACTTTCAAATACAGGACTCAAGTGGAACATGAAGAGGTAAACAGGAAAGAGAAATCATAAGAGACTTATTAAGATTGAACTGTTTACATTCCTGCATGGAAAGATGATATTTATAACTCATGAGACCTTTGTCAGTATTAGGGTAGTTGGAGGAAAAAAATTATATGTATGTATATGTAGATAGATAGAGGGCACAGGGTGAGTTGAAGATTAAGGGGTCATATCTGGAGAATAAAATTAAGGGATGAGAGAGGATTATACTCAGAGAAGAAGAAAGGGAGAGGTAGAATGGGGTAAATTATCTCACAAAAAAAAAAAGAGAAAAGTCTCTTACAGTGGAGGGGAAAGGGGAAGGTGAGAGGGAATGAGTGAATCTTATTCTCATAGGATTTGGCTTAAGGAGGGAATAACATACACATTCAATTGGGTATGGAAATCTGTCTTACCCTACAGGAAAATAGGGGGAGAAGGGGACAAGAGAGCAGGGGGATGATAGAGAGGAGGGCAGATTGGGAAAGAGGGTAATCAGAAGTAAATACTTCTGAGGAGGGACAGGGTCAAAAGAAAGAATAGAATAAATGGGAGGGCAGGATAGGATTAAGGGAAATAGAGTTAGTTTTTCACAACATGTCTACTATGGATGTTTTGCATAACTGCACATGTACAACCTATATTGAGTTGCTTGCCTTTTCAATGAGGGTGGGTGGGGAGGGAGGAAGAGAAAATTTGAAACCTAAAGTTTTAAAAACATATGTTTAAAAAAAATGTTTTCACATGCATGGGAAATAAGAAATACAGGAAATGGGGTACAGAAGTCTATCCTGCCTACAGGAAAATAGAAGGGGAAGGGGATAAGAGAGGGGGAGA